ATATGTAACAGGAAAATTATAACTCATCTTTAAATAGGACTGAAAATGCAAGTAGCTGAGATAAAGCATTTAGTGGGGCTATCACACTTTTTTTTTTTTTTTTTTTTTCCCCCAGGAAGTTTTTAATTACATTTGGTACAACATTGTGTTTGGTAGATCAAGTCCCACATATATGAACAAGCACATTACTTAAGAAATGTTTACAGCCAAATTCCTGACTGACAATTTTGTACTCTCTCCATTTTAAAACACTTTGGTGCTGTAGTTCTTCTGACTCCTTCTGTATGATGGCAATTATCCTGATTAAAAACCCATTTGAGAGCTTCTAAAGTGACAGCTTAAAGTTTTAATGCTCTCTGTGATTTGTAAGAAGGAATGAACACTGTTCTCAAAACACATGAGCAGTTATTTAATAATGTGGCCAGACCCAGTATCGAAATGTAAGAGCGCAAAAGAAGGAACTTGTGCTCTCCAAATATTTGTGAGAAAAAGAGAAAGTTTGTCAGTAAAGAAAACTCACTGTTTTCACCTTCACAGTACAAAAATGATGAGTAGAAACGAAACACTGGATAGACACAGAACCTGGAGTTCCTGTATTCTTTTTATCCTTGCCACCTGAATGATGTTAGAACACAGAATGACAAGAAACATCAAGTTAAATTAATGTTTTTCAAATTCTGCCAGGCTGAGAACTGCAGGAGCCCCTTCTGTATATTAGAGTAGATCAAATGTTTTCTATAATTTTATGGCAGATTTACGGTCTTCTAGAGGCTGTCTGAAAGGTAGAATTTCAGTAGAGCACATATTATGAAAATATTCCCTCTCATTCTGTAATTTCCAAGCTCAGTCTCAGTCTTGCCTCCCAGTATGTCCCCCTGAGGGGTGCTTGAATTGTTCTGTAGTAAGGGAATCCCTAACACCCTTGTTGGCCCCTTCACATTGTGGTGGCCTAAAGGTAGCATATGCTGCTGAAGTGATAAAAGAAAAATATCTGTCACTGCTTAACTATTGAGAATATGCTAAGGCTATCTATTTATATGGGTGTTGAAATGAAGCTACAAAACTTGAAAGACAGACAATTATCTGAGGCAAGACAAAATGCATCTTGGGAGACATTTTTTTCTGATGTGTCTCCACCAGTTGAATCACTTTCTTCTGTCTATTTTGAGATGAATTATAATATCTGGAGAACAATATTATACTTATAATAAACTATTGTAACTAATTTGCTAAGTTAAGCAAGGCGGATACGATACTCTTGAATGATCTGTAAATGTTAAACTGCACTATCCTGCTGTCTAAAGTATTGTAAAAATAGAATATGGTATCCTGTGTGGGATTTGGAATGATTTGTGATTACTCTACTACAATGCATGTTTGAATACATATATACATAATGATTTGTGATTACTCTACTACAATGCATGTTTGAATACATATATATGGATAAAATATAAAGTATGCCATTTGGTTGGAAAAATGTAACTACTTCTCGGAAACCTCATCACCTAGAGCTGATAGATAAACCGCTTCTCGGAAACCTCATCACCTGGAGATAACATGTAACTACTGCTTGAAGAAAAGCCTGCCAAGAGATGGGATCATGAGGCTTTTAAGAGATCCAATAGGAGAAAAGCACACCAAGAGACCAAGGCTTCGAGACTTTCAAAGGACCCAATGGAGAAAGAGCAGGACAATCATCTGACGAGAGAGGCTTGGTTGAGACGGTGGTACAGGAGTATAAAAGACACTGCTTTTTCGAACTCGGAGTGCGTCTTGGTGGAACGGAGACTACCGGCACACCCAGCACTGCTTTGTCTATTGTTTCTCACCACGAATCTATTGAAACTGATTAAATATATATATATATATATCTCTCTATTTAAAAATTGGCTCATTTGATTATAACATACTAATTTCAGAATAAACCACATCACAAAAAGACAGGTTAAATTAAAGGAAAAAAAAAAAAATTGCAGTGTTATAGTACCATAGGAATATCACGGAGTACTGGAAAGCTAAGAAAGATGAAAACCCATCAACCAGATTTTATTCCTTACTTTTCTTTTCCAGAACAAGAGATTGAAATGCATCAGGATAACTATCCAAATGGAGTACACTGGCCACCTTTGAGAAGACTTTAGCGTTAGGTAGCCACCCCAACTTTGCAAACAGTCGAGACCAATTAATAAGATACAAATAAATAATGTTTCTACAGATAAACTGGTACAGATTCTTGTTTTTCTGTAATGTTTCTTATCTCTGTCTCATTCAGAGAAAGCAAAATAAACAGCATCTTTAAATTTCTCTGACTATTTTGCCCACAGAGACTTAAAATTTACTGTTATGTTAGTTCTACTGTTTTATTTTTCACTATTTTCCTTCTTTGGTCTGCCTGTGATGATAAAGTCTTCTGTGACATGAGCTTGAGGGCTTCATTAGCTGTAAAAAAGAGCAATCCAAAACACCTTAAATATTGGATGCACTTTTTTTTACTTTTCTAAAAATCAGAACTGTCCAAGAACTCTTCCTATTGTTGCTCAAACTCTACGAAAAATAAATTTTAGAAGTCAGAAGTTGTTAACTCTATCTCCTTTCATACATGTAAGTATGTCAAAATAGGATCTTGAGCAACATTTATAATAAAAGCAAATATTTCAAGTATTCTATTCATAGGCTTATTCCTGGATTTACTGAAACTTTGATCACCCTGGTCTTTCTTTTGCTGCTCACATACTTCTAGAAACATTTCTTTGACTGCTGAATCCAGATTAACTTCCAGCTGGGCTTTAGACCTCCTGATTTTCACCCTGCATAGCCTCACAGCCTCTTTGTAATCATTGTGAGTGGCTCGCCCATTTCTTCCAAAGGCTGTAAACTCCTTTTCTCCCCGAGTTGCAGCCAAATCTCCCTGTTCAGCCAGGGTGGTCTTCTCTGGCACTGGCTTCTCTTACAGCACCTGGGCACCGCCTGCTCCTGTGCCATTAACACTTCCTTCTTAAATAGTACCCAGCCTTCCTGGGCCCCTGCACCCTTCAGGACCATCTCCCAAGGGATTTTGTGAAGCAGGTGCCTAAGCAAGTGAAAGTCAGCCCTTTGGAAGTCCAGGATGTCCATTCTGCTGCCCCCTCTCCTGGCCTCTCTAAGAACAGAGAACTCTATTATTTCATGATCACTGTGCCCTAGTCGGCCTCCAGCCTCCACGTCCTCCATCAGCCCTTCTCTGTTCACAAAGAGGAGATCCAGCAGGGCACCTTCTCCAGTCGATTCCCTCACCAGCTGTGTCAGGAAGTTATTTCCCACACATTCCAGGAATCTCTGGGTCTGGTCCCACTTTGCTGTGTTGTATTTCCAGCAGATGTCTGGGAAGTTAAAGTGTCCCACAAGAACAAGGGCAAGGGATCATGAGATTTCTCCTAAGTGCCTATAGAATATTTCATCCACCTCTCTGTCCTGGTTGGGTGGCCTATAGTAGACTCCCACTACAACATCTGCCCCGTTGGCCTTCCCCCTGATTCTAACGCAAAGACACTCCAGCCTCTCTTCACTACACTTGTCCTCAAAGCAATCCTAACTGTCCCTGACATGCAGCGCCAGCCCATCACCTCTCCTGCCTTGTCTATCCCTCCTAAAGTGCTTGTAGCCATCAACTGGAACACTCCAGTCATGGGAGACATCCCACCATGTTTCTGTGATGGCCACTACATCATAATTTTCCTGTCTCATCATGGCTTCGAGCTCCTCCTGTTTGTTACCCATGCCGTGTGCATTGCTATACATGGAATTCAGATGGGCTGATGTCCCCAGCACCTTCTTGCTCGATCAACATGTTCTCCACTGGGAATGGACTGGCATTAAGCTCAGGTCCTGCTCACTGCCATGTGGCTCCCCAGGGCTCCCCTGTGGACCCCCCATGGGGGCAGGGAAGCCCTGTTGGGGACAGGAGCCCCCCCTGAGCCTCTTCCCACCGCTGCAGGCTCCTGGGACTGGGAGACATGGGGCCCCTGTGGAAGGGAGTGCCTGGCCCCCCACCTGTGCTCCAGCTCCATCTGGTTCGTCTCCAGGTGCTTTGTTACCCTGAGGCTGGGCCAGTGACTCTCCAGCCAGGCTGGGGGACCCTGACAGGCTCCCAGATATGCAGTGGGGGAGGGCAGGGAGGTCCCAGGGCCCTGGGGCACCTGCGTTCCTGCCCCACACCTCAACACCCGCCTCGGCCAGGCCATCGGAGCTCTTGCAAAGTGACACTCCTGATTGCTGGGTGCTGCTGGGACATCGTGACGCCAAGGGACACTGGAGACCGGACCCCCCTTCCTGCACCCTGCCCTGCCCCCCTGGCATGCACCTGGGGACTCCCCCAAGGTGTTCCCCGCACTTGGAGGGATGGAGCTCCCCACGCCCTGATCCAGGGCCTGATTGTGCCCCGGTGCCAGCCTCTCCGGGTGCGGGGCACCCCCTGCCCCACCTCTGCCCCCAGCCCCAGGCCCCCCCAGCCCGGCAGGATCAGCACTGCCAGCACCGCCAGCAGGATACCCCATCCCCCCGCCATCGCCTCTCCTGGCTCCGGGCAGCGGGAGTGGGACCAGGCGAGGGGCAGGTGTTGCGCTTGGGCCGGGGAGATGAGTGCTGGAGCCCCTCCCGAACCTGGGGGACAGAACCCCCCCGGACTCTGGCCCAATAGGAGGGAGCCCCACTGCTGACTCGGCTGTTCCCAGGCAGAGCAGCAGCACAGGGCACCGTGCAGTGCAGACAGACGGACAGACGGACGCCCAGGCAGGACCCCAGCAGCAGGGCACAGTTTGGGCCCCCCCCACATCGCGGGGTTCCTCGGGGCCCGGCTCCCCCCAGTCTCTGGCATCCGGGGGACGCATGAGCCGGGTGCTGCTCCCGGCCCTGGGGTGCAGCGGGGGGATGAGTGTCGGAGAGAGCCCTGCGCGGCCCGGCTCTGCCTGGTGACGGGTGATGCTGCCCAGCATCGCTCCTCACTGGGCTGCACTGGGACTCCCAGTCCCGCACTGGGCAGGACCGAGGCCATTCCCCGAGCGGACAGAGTGCAGCTGTCTCGGGGGTCCCAGTACTTGTCCAGCTCTGCTGTGTCAGCGATGGAGACTGGTCGTGTCCTGGGAGCTGGGGCTGTGCTGGTGGCACTGGTGGTGCTGAGAGCCCACCCAGCTGGTGGCGAGGAGCCCTCGGGTGAGCTCAGAGCCCTGGCACTGGGAGAGTGTTGGTGGGGATGGGCCCACCCGTACCCTGGGGTCTGGGGTGGGGGGTGGTCGCCCCGCTGCTGAAGCGCAGGAGCTGCCCCTTGGCTCAGCTGTGTCCTGGCTCCCTCCTGAGCCCCCTTTTCTGGGGCTCTGTGTTGTTCCCCCCCCCCTCCCCCCCCACTCTCTCCCCAGTGTCCAGGCTGAGAACTGGTGCCCTGGGGGGCAGGATACCAGTGCCAGCCCCGTGGCCTCCCGTGAGGGCCTCCCTGCTCACACAGAGGTTATCCTGGAGATGGGTGAGGCCGAGTGTCAGTACCTCAACGGCACCCAGCGGGTGAGGTATGTGCAGAGGTACATCCACAACCGGGAGCAGTACGCGCACTTCGACAGCGACGTGGGGCTCCATGTGGCCGACAACCCCCTGGGTGAGATCCAAGCCAAGCACTACAACAGTCAGACACAATTCATGGAGCACAGACCGGCTGAGGTTGACACATTCTGCCGGCACAACTACGAGGTTTTGACCCCCTTCCTCACAGAGAGGAAAGGTGAGAGCATGGCCAGGCACAAGCCAAGGCCCCAGGCTCGCAGTGGGCAGAGCATGTCCATGCTGGGCAGCCCCCAGCAAGGCCCCTGCGCCCTTCCCCGAGCGTGTGAGTCCCTTGCCCCCTCCCTGGGCATGTCCTGCGTGGGGAGCAGAGGGGCAGCACTGGGCCAGGCTGGGGGCAGGCGTGTGGGGCAGCCCTGGGGCTCTGTCCCCAGCCCTGGCCCAGTGCCCTCCCGCTCTCTCCCAGTTCAGCCCAAGGTGAGGGTCACACCCATGCAGTCGAGCTCCCTGCCCCAGATCAAGAGGCTGGCTTGCTACGTGACGGGCTTTTACCCGGCGGAGGTCGAGGTGAAGTGGTTCCACAACGAGTGGGAGGATACGGAGCGCGTGGTGTCCACGGACGTGATCCCGAACGGAGACTGGACCTACCAGGTGCTGGTGATTCTGGAAACCACCCCGCAGCGTGGGGACACCTACACATGCCAGGTGGAGCACGTCAGCCTGCAGCACCCAGTCCGCCAGCGCTGGGGTAAGGCCCTGCGTGGTGCCCTGGGGAGGGCGGGGAGGGGGCCGGGCCCCCCAGGCCTGACCCCCTGCTCTGGACCCCACAGAGCTGCAGTCGGACAGCACCCGCAGCAAGATGCTGATGGGGGTGGGGGGCTTTGCGCTGGGGCTCATCTTCCTGGCGCTGGGGCTCGGCCTCTACGTGCGCAAGAAGGTGAGTGGGGGGACACTGGGGGGTGGCCCCGGGGCATCTCCCGTGCCCCCGCTGACCTGCTCTCTCTGTGTTTCAGGGTGCCTCGTTCCCCGGGCTGCAGGTACCGTCCATCACCCCCCGCCCCGCTCCCCGCTCCCTGCATGGGTCGGGGTCCCCCCCACGCTCGGGGGCAGCGCGTCCGGCGGGAGCGTGTCCCCCGCTGGTGCCGGGGCAGAGCCCTGGGGACGCGCCGTCCCCCGTCCCGGCGCTCACCCCCTCTTCTCCCCACAGGGCTCCTGAGCGACCTCCTGCCCCCGCTGCTCCGCTGCGCCGCTGCCCGTCCTCTGCTCCCCCGCGTCACCTCTGCCTCGCACC